CCCCAAAACCCCAAAACCCCAAAACCCCAAAACCCCAAAACCCCGGAATGTTAGATTTAAATAGAAACATATTATATAAATTATAGAAATAAGAGTAAATCGTTCGATGAACGGGAATAAAATTTTACAGGTCGATTCTTCTAAGATTAATATCATATCCAATCAAAATTCTATGAGTAGGGAGATCAAGCTACCCTTGAAACTTTCTGAAGAAGGGACTTTACAATATCCAGCGTTGTGTAAGCCAGATACATCTCAGTTGGAGCTGATTAGGAAGCAATATCAACCCCAAATAAATTATACCGACCTAACTCACTTACCTTCTCCTGATTATAACAAAGAAGTAGATTCTTTATTGGCAAGTATTGATAAGTACAGCTCCATTCCTTCTATTCGATGGGATTCCTTGGGTCTAGAAGAGCTATATATATCAATTTCTAAGGACAAAGTCACCAAAGCTCAAGCACATTCATCTGTCTCAAGCTCAGATTCTTTAAAATCCTCTACCATCACAAACTCATTTTTGCAGGCCCATAACCTTTTTAGCACCTCATTCGATATTTCAAAACAGTAAGTCCTCGTTCTTTAAACTTTCCAAAACTCCTCTTTGGTACTAATTTTTCACCTAATTCTGTTTTTGATTATTGCTTAAATTTCTTCACCTATTTCTTGCCTCTAGCATATTTTTCAGCCCTAAGGACTCCAAAATAACATACTCGAGATCCAGGGGGCAGGCAACCAAGATTACTTTTATGGTGCTATTTAATATCACCTATAATACTACCCAATCTCAGAAATCTCCTAAAACCTGTTACTATTAATACTTTTAGTACTGCCAACCTGCACTGTTCCAAGAACAAAATTACTTATTTGTGACAGTATGGAGACTGAACGAGGAAATTTCATAAGACTCGAGTAATTTTTGGAGAGTTATAGTATAGAATTTTGTGGACCATGTCAGAATGCATATGAAAATTAAGCCTTATCAGTGTACCCATTGTGGCAAGAAATTCACTCAGAAGGGGAATTTGAGAAGACACTGTAAAAGACATTTAAGTTAAAGTTTTATAAAATTTCGAATTTTAGTCGTTTCGTTGCGATTATTTGGTTCAATTTTGTTAAAATAATTAAATCAAGCTCTACAGAATGTTTTCTTGAGTGTTTTGATAATTGAGTAGGAATTTATTTCAAACTTCTCGGGATTAAGAAATCTCCCATATGTATTTCAAGAATTTGCTTATTTAAGTTTCTATATGAAAATCTTTGTCTTATCAGAAAAATAATTCGTTTTCAATTGTGACTATCTTTCCTGGGGTTTTGGGGTTTTGGGGTTTTGGGG